ATGAGGAGCAGTTGTGGGGGTGGCTGCACAAGCAAGGCTTTCAAATAGGAGAGCAGAGAGACTAGCAGGAACACCAGGGATTTCACAAAAAAGGAAGCTATAGACAGAGAACAAGATACTTTTTCATACAAGTAAATGGTACAGCAAGCACATATCAGGAATTTGAAAAGTTGGTTTACATATTCTTTAATATCACTTTAAAAGCAGTGCAGTACAATTTTTTGGTCTTTAACCTCCCTAGCGGTATTCCCAAGTGTAGCTCGGGGTAAAATGTCTGTACCAAAAAGGGTAACCCCGAGCTACACTCGGGCTTACCATGCGGCGCTGCATAGGGAGTCCCTGCAGCACTTAACTTGTCCTTCGCTTCCGTGATGTGTCCCCTGCAGCGTCCCCGGCCATCTCCTCCGCCTGATGCCGGCATCCAGCTCCTGTGTTCCGGTCCCTGTGACGTCGGGACGTATGGGCGCCGCCGGCGGCAGGAAATTTGAAAATTTAAAAAAAATTTCATTGTTTTCAAAATGATTTTACATAGTAAAACATTGCTGTTTCAACCCATTTCACATACATTTTGTCCCTAGTGCTCTGTCCTGTCCCCTGTCTGCATTTTGACTGTTCTTTCTGCCTGGAAACTTAGAAAAGTCCATGGCGTCCAAAAAGTGTCCCTTTAGGTCAAAAGCGGGTTTAGATCAGCTAGAGAACAGCGATAGTAAATCAGAACCACTTCCAGAATTGAGTGATAATGATTCGTGGAGAAATTCGTCATCAGACACTGAAAACAATTTTGCGACTTTGCTCAGCGATGTGCGAACTTGGCGCTATATTTCAAATTTCAGTGTTTTTGGTTTGATTATATTATTGAATTAAATGTATTATTATTATATTATTATTTTTTAGGATTATTTATTAAATTATAATTTATGATTTTGTGTTTCAAATTTTATCCTACCCGGTATGTTTAATAGACTCTTGTTCGGACAGATTTCAGTGAGTTATTCCTAAATATTACAGCCTACAATAAAAAAATTACATATTTCCATGCAAAATAATGGTACCGCTTTCAGCACCAAAAATCTGAATAATCATACTGCTAGGGAGGTTAATAAAGAAATAGGCCTGAAATTTTGTGGGTTGTCTGGATCTTTACCTGATTTGGGTATTGTTACAATTAATGCTTGCTGCAATTCAGGAGGTAATGAGTCGGAAGAAAATGCATCAGTGCATAGTTGGTTTAGATGAGGACTCAGGGTATTTTTGAAAATGTTAAAGCATTTGCTGGAAAATCCATCTGGTCCCAGACTTTTGCCATTGGGTAGTTTTTCTATTGTTCTGTTTATTTCATTTATTGTGATAGGGGAGTTTAAGATACTTAGTTGTGATTTCGAAAGAGCTTTCCTCTTCTTTGTCATCTCCCTGAGGGTCACTGGGCTGTTGCCTCTCCTCTGGTCGCTTTTGGAGCTTTCAGCACCAAAACTCTGAAATAATCATACCGCTAGGGAGGTTAAACCTAGGAAATAGACAGTTTTTGAACGTAAAGTTCTCTTTCCCTCCCCCTGAAATAGCAGACTGTAAAAAATGTACTATTTTTTGGTTATTAGACCATGATTTTTCTTTTTTACATAAAATCTGTCTGCTCTGTTCTGCTGAAATAGCAGACTATCAAAAAAGCTTAAAAAAGAAGTATGGAAATTAAAGAAAACAAACCTACACAAACACTGGTCCGATTCTGCATCTGTCCCCTGCCGCCTCTAAAAGCAAGAACTGAATGATCAAAAACCACTGATTGCTCAGTTTTCGGTCTTCAGTGAGCAGAGGTCCATGACCATGACCATCAGTCTCCGGATCTCAGCTCTGCCCCTCCAGCTCTCACTGGAGCACTGGCTGTGGGGGGGGGGATCTGGGTGGATCCCTACTTTAAAGATGGGATCTAACCACAGCCTGGATAGGCTCAGTGAGAGCTTTGGCCATACTTCCCTTTAAAAAACCTGCTGTAAATATGTACTATTTTTCAGTCTCAGAAACATACACTGTATTTGTTTATTCAAGCTGAAATCAACAAGCTGTCTCCCTGTGACACAGCATCCTATCTAAAAATGAATACCTATTGCCCATTAAATCAGTTCTGTTTTTCTTGCTTGTGGCTCTGGAAAAGTTCACTGATTTAGTTACATATAACACCTGCACATCTCCCTGTCTTCCATTGCTGTCTAGTAAATACACAGACATAGTGCGCACTGTGTCTGTGAAATGTTTCTGGCTCTTGATTTTGATATAATAAACAGAATTGTTTCCAGTATAACATATGCCTCATCAATTTCTACTAACATGGCCAATAACAAATGCTTGCTTAATGTGCAGCAAGTCTATAAAATATTTTAAGCTTGCTGTCTTTGAAATATATCTGGGTTAGGTTCAAGACGGTTTCAATTAATATCACTAAAGTTTGAGTGCCAGATCTGAAAACTATTGAAATCAATCAAGTGAAAAAGTAATACAAACTGACAGACTTGATAAAGTATATGCGCGCGAAACATGTTGTCCCGGCAACCGGCCTCTTCCTTCTAAAGCTGTGGCTCCGACAAGGGTTCCCCCCACCCCTCCGTCTCTCCACATCGTGGTGATGTCATACGGGATGCTGAGACGTTGGATACATGTGGTCCCTGCACTGACAGGCATTCTACTCTCCACTGCTTCCCTCTGAGTGGACGGGCCGTCCATCTTGGAACCCGGCCTCTTAAAGCCACAGACTGGTTATCTATTTTTTACCAAATGAATTATTAAAGGCACACCTCCATATAAGGTGGTTTAGTTTTATCATAAAACTACACAGCGCCTGGCTCCTGTTCATATGTATTTCTGTAGGCCACCTTTTTTTCTGTAGCTTTGTAACTACTGTCTAAATGAGACCTTTCTATGCCTCAACCTTTATGGTCTGTAGCCGTCTATAGCAGTTGAGAGTTTAGAGGCCCCATAGCTATAATAATATGGAATAAAACATGTTTTCATGAAAAGATCACTCTTTTTGTTTCAGATACCTTTGTACTTTCCACTTTAAACCTCTGTATGAGCTGTCACTCTGAACATGCTTTTCTTCTCAGAATGAGTGCAGCAATCCCATTCTCAATCTGTAATTAAAATTAGTAGGTTAACATTCTGGCCTTTTATCATCACTTAAAACTTTGTACATCTTTTAGACATCAGCTTAGTACCTCTATATTATGCTAAAATGCTGGCAGTTGAATACAATCTTTACATGCGTAAGCTATGAATGCATTCTTGCAACTGTAATTACATTAGCCTCTACTCCTGTAGCTATCCTAAATGTATCTAGAGTTATCCCAGCAGTTAAATCTGTGTACAAGGCATCATATACCTGGTCTTTCAATGTGTAATCATGTGCTATATTAAAAACACCAACAAAAGCTCAATGCCTTTACCATTTTTCACCAAAGTAATTCTTGTCTTGCAACACTTTGCAAATGATACCTTCTACAAAATATCATGCTGATATGTAAGTTTGGAACTGCTTGAGAGTGTGAAGTTTTCCTAACTGAAAGAACAACCTCTCCAGCGCCTCAAAGGGGTCAATACCAGGGAAAACACAGGGATTCAGGCGTATTTGTGGCATTGGAGTAAATCTTGGTGATGCTGCCCTCCTCTTACTGGGAGCTCCAACCAAAACTGGCTTCTTGTGAAGTTTTCCTACCTATAATCCTTCATTTGGTCATTAGATGTCCATATATCTTTTTACATTTTTGCCTTTTGGAGATGAACTAGGACCCCTTGCTTAAACATTTGGTAATTCTTTTCAGTCTCTTTAAATATAAAAACCTTTACCCATAAAGAGACCCTGCTATGTAATAAAATGCCCTCATAAATCCCATACTTATAAAAAGTGAGCTGAATATCTATTCTGCCACCCATACTCAATGCTGTTCTGTGAAAGAGAACTGCTCTACTGAAGTCTATTGGGAAAATTACACTTCTATATATAAATACAATGTGAATGTGATATCAGATCAATAACCCCTTAAACCTACACTAATTCCAAATTGGAAAAAAAACTTTCAACCCCTGAAAGTTTAAAATCAAATAAATTAGTCCAAAAGAGAATCTTCCCTCTTTTAACAAATAATCTACCTATATGTACATATAGGTACACTGTTGTACATATAGGTACACTTCTATATAGCTTGAACAAAAGAGTAGAAAAAAAGATATGTGGGAGAGAGAAGCTGATGGTGGGAAATGGATGCTATCACTTTTTCACTAAACTGGGAAAATCAGTCTAACAAAACATTTCTAACATAATGGAAAATCTTTTTGATGATAAACATTAATTGCAATAACTGAAATGCACATCTCTTCTATATGGCCAGTGCATGTCAAGTGATGCTAAAATTCATCACAGCAATTTACAAACCTTAGGCAGGGCTCAGGTAAGAACTGTTTCTATATGGACCAGTCACAACTGTGTCATGACTTACTGCAATCTCCTCTGTGTCTCAGTAAATATGCTTGGAATTCCTAACCACTCATGGAACAATTCTTACCATGGGCCAATACTTATCAGACAGTTGCCACCAAGCAAGATGTTGTTAACCACTTGCCTACAGGGTACTTATACCGCTTTTCTTGCCCAGGCAAATTTTCAGCTTTCAGCGCTATCGCACTTTGAATAACAATTGCGCGGTCATGCAACACTGTACTCATATGCCTTTTTTTAAAATTTTTTGAGACAGATAGAGATTTCTTTTGGTGGTATTTAATCACCTCTGGGTTTTTTATTTTTTGCTAAACAAACCAAAAACAACTGAAATTTGTTATAGAATTGATTTTTCTCCTTCACTGATGTGCGCTAATGAGGCTGTAGTGATGGGTATTGATAGGCTGTACTGATGGGCACTGATAGCTGGCACTGATGAGGAGGCACTGGTAGGTGGCACTGATGGGCATTGACAGGCATCACTAATGGGCACTGAAAGGCAGCACTCATATATGTTACTGATAGGTGACACTGATAGGCGGCACTGACTGGCACTGTTAGGCGGCACTGACTGGCACTGATAGGCATCACTGGCTGGCACTGATAGGTGGCACTGATTGACAGCACTGATAGGCAGCACTGACTGGCACTGATAGGTGGAACTGACTGGCACTGATAGGTGGCACTGAAAGGCAGCTCAGATGGGCACTGATATGTGGCATTGATGTGCACTGATAGGCATTGATATGTGGCATTGATGTGGCACTGATGGCCACTGGCGGGTGGCATTGATAGGCACTGACAGGTGGCATTGATGGGCACTGACAGGTGGCACTGCTGGGGCTACACTGATCATCAGTGCCCTGATGATCAGTGTACATGTCCCCTCTGAGTAATGCCGATTACTGGCTCTCCTCTCCTCTCGAGCTGTCAGCGTGACAGCTCATGAGGAGTGACATGCCGATAACCGGCATTTCCTTATTTCAGCTGTGATTGGACACAGCTGATAACATGACAGAGCTGACGTCTTCAGCTCTTTCCATTGATCGGTGATACGCTGTGTCCCAGGGACACAGTGCACCACCGATCATCGCGCTGTGCGCCCCTGAGGGCGCGCACGTGCAATTAGAGTGGGAGGAGGTCATATGATGTTCTCCCAGAATGAGAGAACCACCTTGCGTCTGTCATTTTCTTATATGGCGGGCGGGAGGCAGTAAAACAAGTAAGGCTAAAGTTCTGCTGTTACTGTGAAAAGGCAAGTTTTTTGCTACAGAATAGACAAGCAGTATCTCTTGTGCAATAAACTACACCTACCTGCCTGTTCATAACAATCCCTGGAATGTAAACTGAGCTGCGCAGGAAAAGATGCTGGCACCGGTTAGTATTTTTTCCTATTTTTCTGCATTAGTTGTTAAAAAAGTGTGGTAAATTTTTTATTGAATTATGTATGCACACATAATAAACAAGCTAAAGTTATATGCTTTTTAATTTTGGTTAATTAATTTTTTTGCCTTTTTACATCACTTCAACAAAAAAAAAAATTCAAAAAATATAGTATATACTGTATATAAAGTAAAAATATATATAAAGTATATCAATATTGGAACTCAGAGGAGTCTTTTTGGACTAAGTTTGCTTGTCAAGACAATATGATATAAGAAAAGAAACTTCTAAAAACTGCAACCTGATGCCAGCATGCACACCATTAAATCTATCCTGTATATGACATCCAGGCAGAGGGAAAAGTATATATTTGAAGTATCCCTATACTAAAAAGTAATAAATGCATGAATATGAGGGTGCTCTTCTTTGATGTAATACTACCAAGCTAACTCATTTGTAAAAACATTCTCATTTTTAATTTTGTGTCATCTTCCAGTAAAACAGAAAAGTGTTAACTTTACAGTATACCCCTAGTTAAAGTGTAAGGCAATCTTTAATACCAAATAAGGGAGTAATTTACAATTTATAATCTTTACATACTGTAAAGGAAATTTGTAATTTCTGTATAAAATTGTATTCTATTTTGCATGCTTTGCCTGTGTATTGTACATTGCACTCATTGTGCACATTGCACTAATAATGTTTTGATTACATTTGCATTCATTAGAGTCCTGATTAGAAATTAGCCTGTCTATGTAATGCCCCTTGTTACCATAAAAGTACAATTGTAATTGGAAAACGTGAGAGAATGATATGCATGTGTTGTGTAAAAAGTGGGAAAAATGTAAGCGATTTTATAGAGACGATTGTGTATGTGTGTCTGCTGAGGTTTTTAGTCCTGTAGGTCTATGTAGATTTCCCCCTTCCCTCCTTTCCTCTTTCCCATGAGAATAATGTGCTGGGAAAAGACATCAGTGATAACTGGCAAGGACACATATAACTACGAGTTTTCATAACATTATGTTAATTAATCTGATAAACAATGTGATCACAGTAATCATGGTAAAATGAAGGTTATATTTAAAATTGCTTATAGTATGTATAAAATAACACAAATTAAATATACGTTGATAGTGGAAATGGTGCATTTTAAAAAGGGAAATGAGGTAAAGCGTCCTCATTTAAGGAGATGTATCTGTGTAACTGGAATTAGTATCTAATATTGAGATTATCACTCAAGTATTCATTTCTGATATGATGTTAACAATTTTAATAATGATATAGATATATTTTCATTGGTTTAGACAACCTTTGGTTGGAAATGGAATCTAAGTTATTGGGAAAATCTATAATTATGATTATAATTTATTATTATATCGGATTTATATAGCGCCAATATAAAGGGAGACAGTACAGTTAAAATACAATAAAAAAAAGAAACAAGAGTATTAAGAGGGCCCTGCTCAAAAGAGCTTACAATCTAATAGGGTGGATATGGGGTACTTAAGATTAATATGAGGTAGTTATTTTGCAGCTGCCCTAATACTTATTAGAGCCTAGATGGACAGGATACATGAGAACTTTTTCTATAAAAATGAAATCTAAAGGTCTTATAGTAACTTGATGTGTGGTCCATGATGTGAGAGTAATAAATACAATTAAAGACCCACCTCACCAAGCCCACATACCCTGTTGGGATAGATGCCACCTGCAGCAGGCTGTTTTATAGTTTTTTGATCTGGCTGATGATTTTTCTGTTCTTTCCTATACAGATTGTTGGTAATTTTTGTTTTTATTTATTTTTATTTTTGAAATCCAAAGCAGAATGTGTTGACTGTGAAATGATGTGTCCTTTTTCCTTGTAAGTGCGGTGGTAAGCTCAAGAGAACTTTGGATTTACGGACATCTCTGCATGATCTGCATCTCTGATGTATTGTTATCATATATTATGTTGTGACTTTGGAAAAATGTGTAAGATGGAAATTAAGTATTTGTATTATTTAACTAAAACTAACAACACAGCAAGCAAAGAGCCATTATAATATTGCCAGGAAACAGTTATCTTTTTAGAACAGGAAACTGGAGTTTTTACACAAAGAGCATGATAGGAAAAAAAAGCCATTGAGATACAGTATATTTCATGCAAGCTGGATCCAGTAATGATGGGTTCACCTAGCTATACCAGAGCATTAGCTGTATGGAAGGTTCTACTACACAAAGGTAGAGACATTATTTTGGTCAATTATTCAATTTTAACATATTTTGTGCAGCAGTTATTTGCAAACAGCCCAACTAAATATTTGTCAAATGCAAAGTTCATAAAATATAAATCTATATTGTCATTTATGTACAAAATATAACAATGAAAAAAGCATACCGTTGAACCCAGCCACCTTACTGCCTGTGTTGGAGGAGGCTGGAGACAAAGAAAACCACATGTGTTAAATTGATGTTGTAAGAGTCAGCTGCTGTGATCCCAGTGAGAACACACTCATTGAAGACCCAGATATTTTATTTTATTGTAGATTTGATCCCAGTTTTATACCGAGGATGGCTAGACCCACTCTGAATATGCAGTTATCACCCAGAAGGATGCTCTGTATTTAGAGTCAATGAATTCTTCTTCCCCAGCTCAAGAAGCAGAGCTCCACGCTTTAGCAAAGCATGTGAGCTATCGGAAGGGTATACATTAATATAGATAGTAGAGAATTAGAGAGCTTTTGGGATGCTGCATGATTTTGGTTCCATTTGAAGGGCTAGAAGTTTTTTTTACTTTGTCAGGCAAAGCAATCAAGCATGCTAAATTAATTGATTGGCTGTCTTTAGCCTTCCAGCTTCTTGTTGAGGTAGCCATACTAACATTAAAATGCACACATTGGAAGCAGACCATGCGAATAAAAATGCTGCATTACAGCCCTGGACACTTGCTCGGTCTGTGAAACTCACAGATTCCATCCTAGTTCTGGCCCAGTATAACTGGGATTAATAATTAAACATTTCGAGGACCTCATAACAAGAAGAAGTGGTCCACAGTAGGAGCCAAATTCTTATGAAACAGAACTTTGGAAAAGGTGATCTTTTAGGTCTGCCAGAGACTCTTTTCCCTTCAGCTTGACACATGGACAGTGTCATCAGTCAGAAGCAATTATGGCTGCCTTAGTAAATGAGCCTGTGATAGCACCAGGTATTTCACCACAGTTGTTTTTGAACATACAGCTTCTTGTTTTACCTGTTACCAAAGGTGTTACCAAAAACTGAACATCCCTTCCAGAGGTTACAAAAGGATATATCCAGATGCCCAAGTCAGGATCTTCCGAGTATGCACTGATCTGTATGGGCATTTTTTCTAAATAGTCAGAATTTTGGTCAGTAGCAAATGCTGCTGCAAAGGCCACAGTAAAGAGTAGAGTGTCATCAGAAGTAGTTTGTACTTACAGAGTCCCAGAAGCTACAAAGAGTAACAGAGGAGCTACTTTTATAGGAGAGTTCTTACAAGAAGTTTGAGGTTTTATTTTTCAGCAGCCCTCACCATCCACAATGTCTGGAAAAATTGTAACTGGGAATGTCAAGAAACTCTCCAGACTTCTTGGCCATCCGTCTTCTGAGTGCTTTTTACGTATTTTGGGGTCATTGTCCTGCTGGGAAGACCCCAGGATTTGGAGTGAAACTAGCTTTCTTACACTGAGTCTTACAGTGGACCCAAAAATCCTTTGTAATCCTCAAGATTTCATGATGCCTTGCAACACAGTCAAGGCACCCAAAGTGCCAGAGGCAGCAAAACAACCCCAAAAAAATCATTGATTCCACCAATTTTACCGTAGGTACATGTAGGCCTCATTCCGTTTTCGGTAAACAGTAGAATGATGTGCTTTACCGAAAAGCTCTATCTTTGTCTCATCTGTCCACAAGACGTTTTCCCCAGAAGTACATTTTTTTGGGCTTACTCAAGTACATTTTGGCAAACTGTAGTCTTGCTTTTTTTATGTCTCTGTGTCAGCATGGGGTTTGCCATAGCGTTTCATTTCATTTAAATGTCGACGGATAGTTCAGCCTGCAGGACAGCTTGAATGTCTTTGGAACATGTTTGGGGCTGCTTATCCACTCTGCGGCAATCTTTCATCTCAATATATAGAAACTTCTTGATAATGGACAAAGGCAAATCTAGTTCTCTGGAGAATGGACTTGTAACCTTGAGATTGTTGATATTTTGCCACAATTTTGGTTCTCAGGTCCTCAGAAGTTCTCGTCTTCCTCTTCCATGCTTAGTGTGGCACAGACAGACACACAATGCAAAGGTTAAGTGAACGTCTCTCCTTTTTTATGCTTTACAGTGTGATTTCTATATTGCCCCACATGTTACTTCCCCATGTGAGTTTTACAGGAGCATCACATGGCTTGTAACATGTCTTAAGCACCATGATTTGAAAGGTGTTGTTCACTTGCTTTCTTAGCAGTTGTGAAGGGTCAATACTTGGATCCAGCCCATTTTTTGGAGGTTTGTGTGACATTATGTCAAATTTGCTTACTTTCCTCCCTTATTTGTTTTTTGTCCCAATACACACAAAGGAATAAACATGTTTGTATAGCAAAACATCATGTTAATGCAATACGTTTCGTGAGAAATACATGATTCCTGTATAAGGGTGAACATTTACAGTATATATATATATATATATATATATATATATGAAATGGTTGGA